ATGCCTATAACGAAACTCATACCTCCTCCATAATATCCATAACAGACCAGTTTTGGGATATACTTGCCTTGAATATCAGCTAGATCTTTATAAATCTCGACTTCTTTTTGCATTTCTTCCAGGACATACGATGGGGCCTTCGATAAGTCTACACTCTTCAAAGCGATCATATCACCACGAAATTCGCACAAGAGCGTTTTTCCACTTCGTCCTTCACCTAGTATGCCCTTAAACTTGAAGTCCGTGAAGCTAAACTTTTGCTGGTCTACTGGGATGTTAGAAGATGATTGTTGATTTGCAAAAGTGCCGGAAGTTGATTGTTGATCTATTGAGGAGCTGGAAGTCGATTTCGAATGTGACCGAAGATTACGTGAATTATTGTCTCCATGAGCCGGCACTAGTACTTGAGGTTTAGGAGACTTGGGATTCTCTTTCGCCTGTCGAGTTAGATAAGCATATGCCTTGAGTACAGGCGGAGATTCAGATTCCAGTGGAAGGGTTTTTGAGATCCAGAGCTCCGTGTGTTCTCGGCGTAGAAACCAGTGATTATCATAGGTGGAAAGAATGCCATATCTAAGTTCGTTTCCTCCCATATAATTATAGATTTGTTGGATCACATCCTTTCCTTTACTCGTCTGATAAAACTCGGGAAATGTTTCTTCGCCCATATCTTCCAAAACATGCTTTCTTTTAGCCTCCATCACCAAGATCAATGAACCCACGAGATGACAGTTGAAATCTGGTATGCCAGGAGTGTCAGTAGATTTCCTTGAATATACGTAATCTGGTCCGGTAAGATCATTCAATATCATACAAATATTAACATTTATGGCATTACGAACATCCTCTTCATCGACCACAGCAAATCTATCATTAAATCTCGGCCTCTCGAATATCGGTTGCTGGTCGAAGCGGAATTGATTCACTTTATCGAAGAAGTCCCCCCATAGAAGTACACTTGTCGGTGGGTCACCACTAGCCTTAGTAGTGGTCTTCGATGTAACACAGTCCGGAGAGTATGTTATAGGTGGCGGAATACACGACAACGCCTCTTCCAAGCTGAGAACTGGAAACGAATACGCGTTAATATTACGAAGGCAAATGACGAAAAATTAGCTGTTAAGGCGCCTTGCACAGACTGTACCAGACACTTACGTGGCAATTTTACAATAATATGGATATGTTCTTCGAGAGGTGAGTCTGGAAAGTACTTCGAAATTTTTCTTATTGCCAACATCCTGGAGTATTAGATTTCTTAATTGATCGTCCTGATCGCCAGGGATCGTCACCTTCCATAGCTTGAGCCTGTCTGCGTCAATACCAGCAAAGTCATTTTGTTTTTATGCCTTAATAACTTTCTTGAGTTCGCTAACAGGCTCGTCCCTACTTATTTTAACAGAGAAAGCGTTCGCGGTCGTATTTCCTTTGACGAGACATAGTAAAGTGATAGACATGTTTTCGGCTTATATAGTATTTTTTGTGGAATATTATTGGTGCAAACTGGCGTATGTGAGGACAAGAGTAAAAAGAATTTTATTTGCGAAAAAAAATACTGAGGCCTAGTATATGTGAGATTTAACTGTCGCACAGACCTGCCGTGTGATTAGCAATTACATCATAGGTGCAACGATCGCCTAATCACTGCGCCTCCCTAACCGTGAAGACTCTTCACACTTATCACCTGACGTTTTTTATATAGCTGATAGGTTAGATTGGCTCGGATAAAAATGTTAGATTTATAGGCATCATTACACGTGACCCGTTTCTCATATACGTTCGATAAAATAATACTTTATTTATGAAATAAAAAACGTTGCCGGTAACCGGCCTATATTACATAAAAAAATTGCGACTAATTCGCTATTACATGATATAGAAAAATATTATTCGGGGGAAAGGGGAGGGTAGACAAAAATATGAATCATATCTTCATCCGGATTCTCAGGAAAGTAAACAGAAATCATATTCTCTGGTTGCATACGTCTTCTTTGTATACTGGTTGGATAAATTTGTTGAAGATGAAAGTTATGAGGACGGACTGGAAGATGAGGCGCTAATATGCCCCTAACTCTATCCGCAATAACAGAGACAAGGTCGTTCTTGGAAACCTCGATCACGAAAATTACATTTCTATTTTGACTATTACGGAAACGGAGGTTAAGGCTTATAATATCGCTATTATCGGTGGTAGACATCTTGCTTCTTGTTATCTATCAGTAATAAGCCTAATAGTGAGAAATTTTCGTTCCCATACATAACTTCTGACATATACGCACCTTATATTTTTTGCGGAAAGTTGGCTGAACTTCCACATACCTCTACATGCTTTATATCTTGCTGGGAAAAAGATAAGGAGATATGAGTCATGATTAACATTATCGTATGATGCCAAGAGTTTCATGAAAGCACATGTAAACGGAATCCATTTACCTTTTCACATGGGGATCTACCGGAGAAACATATAGTTGGTTTTACGCCTGGCGATCTCGAAATTGCGAGTCCCTCAGCCTTTCACAACATATGCTTTTGCCGTCAGTATTTACTTTTACGGTAGGTCCTGTGTTGCAACTAGACCTCCTTTCACATTTTTCTCGGGAAAAAATCAAGAACAAAAGTTTATGTTTTTTAGAATATATGAAAATTATTATGTCGCACAGACCTATCCTGTGATCCACTTATTTTTTGTTACACAATCTGTGGCCAGAGAAAATCTCCGAGCTGGTGATCACCACTCCGGACCAACCAGTCTCTAATCTCGAAAATTGAATCGGGAAATTAGTACCATATAATAATTCATCGATAAGTAATATCAAATATGCCACGCCCATCAAGGAATAATCGACGTAAGACCATAGGCTTGTTTACCACTAATCCTAAGCAGTACTTGCAATTTCAGAATTTTGCCAAATATGAGCATATCTATGATACTCAGTCGGACTTTATAATCGTTATTAACAGAAAAACTAAGGATCCTAAGGCAACATTTAACTGTGCCAAACTCATAGTGACACTAGTGACAACCAGTGACAAGAAAATTCGGTATATATATATATATTTTTTAGCATATACGATCAATAGGATACCACCTATAAAATAAACAGTTTTCAGTAAAATAATAATACTTTATTATTCATGAAATAAAATTTTTTTTTAAGCCTAATATACATAATAGAGATTTAACCTATATCTATACAAAAATTAAGAGACGATTTAACTTCCTATGTTATCTACTAGTAGATAAATTATAGGTAACGATAACTCATAGCAGTACATTACAATCTAAACATCATTCCTTAATGACAATGTCCACCACTACAATACCCTGTTATTCCATAACATTCACTATATTTGTTACATGAACACAACCAATGTGGTCGATCAAAAGCTGTTGTTTTGTCACATTTCTTTATTTTGCAATCAGTATCTGAATGACAAGCATAAACGCAGGTGTTTTTACCCGGATCTGTATTTGCGCACACATAACCCGAACCCTCTTTACCGGCACAAAATTTATCAGCTTCGTCATTCTGTTGTTTATTTATACCGGGATTACATTCAAGCGCAAAAATGTTAAATGAGAAGAAGGTTATATAAAGAAAAATCGTGAGGTGCAAAAAACGGCACATTTTGGCAATGTTCATAATAAAAATTAGTTTGAGTGTATTAAACTGACCTCAAACAATTAAAACATAATTTATCGCAAAATAGGTCTTTTATAAGTAAACTTCAAATAGAATAAGGCCATTTAGTCAGGCCATTTAGTCAGGCCATTCAATCAGGTCATCCAATCAGGCCATTCAATCAGGTCATTCAATCAGGTCACCCAAAAGATCGGCAAGAATTATGGCATAATGTCAGCCGAAATTAACCACTGTTACCGGTAGTCACAGATTGATCACCACAGCATAAGCTATCTAGAAATAAATGATCAACATGAATATATCTGCAACATTAACACTTTTCGTGATACAGTAATAACCGAATGGAGCATTTTGTTAACACTGTCATAAGCAGTGAGGAATTTACCATTAAGACTCTGGGTATGGAGTTCTTATCTATCAAGGATGACAATAATAACCAAACAAAGCATTTTGATATCACTGTCATAAGTAGTGAGGAATTTACCATTAAGGCTCTGGGTATGGAGTTCTTATTCATCAAGGGTGACAATAATAACCTTATCATCTTTAAAGATGAAGAGCGGGAAATTGATGGTAAAGTAATGATGATGGAACCCTGTGAAGATATCTCTCATATCCATAACAAAGGCACAAGAATTTATTTCAACAATTATGTGATCGCTGATATGGAATACGCAGAAATAATCAAATCTATAATAGGATTTCTGTCATTCTACTACTAATAATGACTTTACATCCTATATATTTATCAATATAAAAGTAGCGGGTAGAAGTTCTTTCACATTTCTCTTATTATTGTTCAGAAAAAAATAGCCATTAAGACACTTCGTAAGAATAAAGGCTAATATAATTTTTTGAATATACAGTATATGCGAAAATTAATATGTCGCACAGACCTGTCTTGTGATCCACTTATTTTTTGTGGCCCAGCAAAACCTTCCGAGCTGGATGATCACTGACCTCGGACTGATGATCAGTATTCCGGACTCAAAATTGAATGTATGCTAACCAGAGATAAACACAATCATGTCAAGAAATACTAATAATAATTCCGATCAAGTCGATGCTGATTTATATGATGAGCAATATGAAGAGCTTTTATATGAATTACTTTTATATAAGAAGAAAGATATAATAGCTATTCAAGAAAAACTCGGTATGATCCCTCTGGGACCAATTAATGACAATACAAATCAAACAGCATTGAATGAAAGCAAAGGAAAAATACTTAAAGATTCATTTCGGCTGTTCTTTGATTTGGTGGAGGAATTAGTACAGATAGTACAGATAATGGAGGGGTCCGATGCGCATATCCTCCCTATCCTTTCTATATTACATCGAAATAAACAAGATCTCGTTGAAGTAACATGTGAGGGGGAAAGTATGACACTTGGGGAAATTTATCATTTGCTTTTATATTTGGAATGGGATATAAGCTTAATTCACGGTGATCTTGGTATTGTCGGTTATACTAATTCAGAAATAAGTGGATTAGAAGCCGATAAAAATGCAAGAGCATATCTTCAAAAGTTTAGACGGTCCCTTAGGAGATGTTCCAAGTGTGGTAATATCAATTGGGGGTAAAATGTTTTATTTTACTGGAGAGACTTTCATTATTTCTGTCGGTCTAGAACAAGTTAGCTAATTTATATTTTTTTGCCAGGAGACTCAGCAAAAAATGTTCTTTCGAGCGAAGTGATCACCACTCTGAGTCGGATAGATTTGACTCATTATCACTATCTGAATCGGGCCATTCTATCTTGATATTCCGATCAAGCTTTTCTAATACATTTCTGCTAATACCTTTACAGGCCTCTAGGCCAAGGAATTTTAGATTATGACATGATCGAGCAATTTCTCTGATTGCTGAATTACCAATCATGCTATTACCGAGGTCTAGATATTTGAGTTTAGGACATGATCGCGCAATGTCACGAATACCCGAATCAGCAACACCATAACAGCCATATATATCAAGATGCTCTAATTTATGACATGATTTCGCTATTTCTTTAATATCTCTATTACTAATAAAACATTGCATTAGATCTAGATACCTAAAGTTTCGGCATGAACGTGCAATAATGCATATAGCGTCTTCACTGATTAGGCCACATACTCCAAGGTTGAGATGCTCTAATCTTGGACATGATTTCGCTATTTCTTTAATAGCAGTATCAGTAATAAAGCTACATTCAAGGAGATCTAGCCTTAATATATTTGGATATGAATGTGCTATATTAATAATTGCGGTTTCACTGATAGCTAGTTTACACGTAGCATTGAAATTTAGATATACTATATTTGGGCATGAGCCTATTATTCCATTTATGTCTTCGTCTGAAAATTTATCATAAGAGAATAGGAAAATGAGATTTCTTACATTTACTCCATGAAATGGTTTTAAGTTTCTGCAAATACGCAAAAACTTTTTTTGCCGTAGAGAGTCTAAGAATTCGATATGCTTCCATAATATCTGTCCCGCAGTGTAGTACCACAATTGGCAAACAAATAGAGCGGGATAGAGGGATTTATCTGTTGCTAAGAAATATAAAAATGGTTCTAATAGTTCTGGTATAATAAAAATTCTTGAATGCGACATAAATAATATATGCTGTATCCAAATGAAAAAATAAATTACGCGATCACTGCTACGAATAATCGTTATTCTGGATTAGGTTCATATTTTACTTCTTTGAATGGGATCGCAAAATTATCGTCTAATAATAGTTTTGAACCGCATATATCCAAAATTGCACCACTTTCTCGGAACCAAGGACCTCCCAAGATTAAATCAGGTCCCGGCCAATCTGGTCCAAGAACAATGAATTCACCGGGTGTGCTTTTATGTTTCTCGCCATCATTAATAAAGCCGATATGCAGATTAACCTTCTTAACCGAGGTTAAGATAGATTGCATCCGATGTTTCTATGCTATTGTTTTCACTGTGATATGTAATTCCTAATTCACTAATATTTTTTTGGCTAATACAATTTACATCAGCACATGTATCAATTGATGCCTGGGTGGGACGATTTTCTTCGATTACACAATTCACGAATACCATTTTTATTATGGCATATATAATATCCAAATATAAAAAATAAACCTCTATCACTGCGGACTGGCATTTATCGGGTAGTTAATAGCCTTATTTTTGTTATATGCATTTTTCTTCTGAAACTTTCCTTTGGGCTTAGCGCTTCCTGATCTTTTTCCGAATCCTTTGATGCTTAATCATTTTTACTATTTCATCAATATCAGAATCAGATGAACTGGATTCGGATGAACTACTCTCCAGATCTTCTAATTCGACTTTTAAGGATCCCACATCTCTTTCCAGTCTTTTTACCCTCCTTTCTAAAGAGCTATGTTGGGAATTATATTCTTCCAACTGTTTCTTTAGCGCCCTATTTTCATTACTATCAGATGAGTGATTTTGATCGGTTACCATTTTCATGATATATTCTATATGCTATATCTTGCCTCGGGCGAAAAAAATAAAATTAATAAACAGTATCCTGCGCGGTCTCTATAAGACCCCTCTAACCTTATATGTGATTAGTTTTCATCAAAGAGTTTGAATGCTTTTGCCTGATCATAAGGCTGTCCCCTCCTTCTGAAATTAACTATAGTATAGTTTTTTGCAGGGGAGGTATGGTTCCCAGGGCTATGACGAAGTGCTTGACTGGCGATAGTCATAGCCTCTGATAAATTCTTCGGACCATGCGATACAACTGCAAATACTGCCCCTAGTTTGCGCAAAGATCTAGGGAGTAGTGGTTTGCCAGTTTCAGGAAGAAACTCATCCTTTTTCAGAAATGTGTTAAACCATAATACACCTGGCTTCCCGGGGTCTCTTAATTGTCCAGAAGAAATTGCTTCCTGAATCCATGTAAGTAATTGGCTAGCCCGTTCCTCATTCTTTTCTAGTGATCTAAATACTCGAGGAATGTCCTGTTGTCCTCGATTTTTTGCATATCCAGTTACACCTCCATTAGATATACGCAAGGTCTTTATTTCAGCAGGACGGATGCAGAGCATTATCGTTACATCGGCAAGGGCTTGTAAGCCAGGGGCTTTGGATACATCATACATATCCAATCTCTCCTTAACCGATTCTAACGAGAAGTGGTCTGGAAAGTCAATGCCTTCATTTTCACGTAGCAAGCTTTTTTCCTTTTGAAGTTTATTAGCCGAACGGGTTATCTCTGGAATCAATGTAGCAGAGATTATTTTTTCTGAGGCATTGAGGCCTCGCAACTCTCTTCGAAGTCTAGAGATTCGTGATAAACCAGCGCTAGTATTAGAGGTGGTTTCGGCCAAAACTTTAGATATAACTTTTATATCTTTTTCACTAATATTATCTCGGATAATACGCTGGGCCAAATCTCTAATAGTCTCTTTCGGTGAAATTTGACATGTATTTACTGCCCCTCCTTCTGGTTCCAATTCTTGGATGGTATCGGGAGTATCGGGAGTATTGGGTATGGCTCCTCCTTTTTTCCGACCAGCTGTTAGCTTAGGAATTAATGCAAATACCTGTTCTTCGCTGAAGTTGTACCCTTTCTTGAGACGTCGCCGTGCCTGATCTCTCTTAACTTTATCCGTCAAAAGGGTGTCCAATGCCGGTGCGTGTCTACTAAGTTCTTCGATACTCATCTCGATATTGAGCTCGTTTTCTGTTACATATCTAGTAGCGATGCCAGCCATATTGTTATTATTTGGTAATATGTAAGATATTTGGTTATACCTAGGTTGTTTGGTATATACTATACGGGAAAGTTCAATTCGAAAAAAATAAATAATTATCCCGATAAGCGAAAAAATAATAATAATTCAGAATTTTATATCGCCTAGTTGTAAAGAACAAATAGACCCTCTTACCCAATCATCTCTCTTATAAACTGGCTTCTTATTCGTTCTTTACCAAAGCATACCATTCTCCTGGAGTATGCTTACCGTTTTTTTCCATTTCTCATCGGTATCAAGCCAGGAGGATGTGATCCCATCTTCCTCGAGAGAACGGCGGATAATCTCTTCTCCTATCAATCTTTCGCGTACAGTCATGTCCATATGTTCTTTGGGGTCTTCTTCCATTTCTTCTGCCCAACCACACATTCGTGAATCCATTTCCATTCTATCACGGAATCCTTTGGAATCGAGTCGGTCTTTTTCGGTGATGGTCACGAAGACATCTGGATCCTCTCCAAGTTCGACTGCCTTTTTTCTGAGGCGCTCTTCTCGCTGGGCTCTGGTAGCTGATATTTCAGTACTACTGGGTTTGAATGCTCTCAACACATTACTGGTTTGCTCGATAGATTTTGGGGGCTTATTGGTTTCAGGTTCATCGATTACTGGCTCAGGTGTTTTAGAGATCTTGGATGTGCCAGATATCCCGGATGTTGAGGCGACTGGAGCATGGGTGTCTTCTGCCACATAGTCGAAAAGAGCCTGGGTCAATTCGTCCTGTTTATCCGCCTTCTTATCTTTACTGGTTCTAGGTGGAGACGTATTCTTTTCTGACTGAGACGAGATTATTTTTGGAGGAATAATTTCCGGTACATTGAATATAGGTATGTCTGTGGTCTCATTTTCGGGTAAGTCGTCTTGAGGTATATCGGAAAATTCTTCGATATCACCTAAGCCGGATTCATGAAGCTTGGCTTCGATCTTGGAGCGGCCGAGAATATATTGCCATTCCCTTTTCCCACCGCATGCTCGTACTTGTTTGCTCTCAATATTAATATCTGAGAATTTCTT